ACTGTTGAAATTAAGTGTATCGTAAAGCTGTATTCGGAAAGAATAAACCAGTTTTATTTAAGAAAGGACCTGTGTCGCTAAAGTTTCGTCGGAACGAATTTATGGAAAATTAATTAACAAACGGAGACGTAACAACTGATTATACGTACTCGTATATATGTTTTACTGTTATTTTTACATAGTCTAGAAAGCTTCTGGGTATTCAAATTTCATGAACTTTCTAGATTGCGTTGTTGTTGTTGTTGTAATGAAGCTCTTTCTCTAACAAAAATCTAAATAAGTGTTTCTTAAACTGAGGTCTGCGAGGGTACTCCAGGGGGTCCGAGAGTGATGTCCAAAATTAAAAATAGAAAATGATTTATAGAATAAAAACATTTTTGTAGAATTAAATTGATACGAATTAAAATATTTAATTATGTAACACAGCCTTTCATGTACACTGAATGTTTTGTTGTTGTTTTTTAAATCAGTAAGCATCGATAGTTTGGATGGCCGCGAAAATAAATTAAAATTAAAAGGGATCCTCGGTTTACTAGACTTTAAAAACCGCTGATCTAAATCAAAACATTGAAAACGCAGCTTATAACATAATATAACGTACTAAATCTGTGTATTCTAAGAGTATATGGATTATCTTACTATTTCAATTCTTGGTTTATTAACTTCATCAGAAAATACGTTATTTCGAAAATGCAAACTAATGAAAATGTTTCCCATTTTAATTAGTTTCTCTGGCAATTTTAACAAAAGCATAGTCTAAAAGCGATACTCTCGTTCAATTTCCAGACATTTTCATCTATCTCGTGAAATTTAGCAACGAGCGATATTAAATATTAATTTTTTAGAAAGTTGTTGTTGTTGTTTCTTATTAAGCACAAGGCTACACAAAGGGCTATCTGTACTCTGCCCACCTCGGGTTTCGAAACCCGATTTCTAGTATTATTAAAAAGTGTAATATAATTATTGCTCTCTTTATCATTTAATCAACGACAGACTATTTACATATACGAGGAAATTTATAAACGAGTAATGGTTTAGCGAAATTATTTGAAGTTGTGTTTATAAAATATAAACGCCTTTTGTGTAAAAAATATTTGTTTTTTTCACATACAGTAAATTAGCTTTATAATTCTCTGTTCTCTGTAAGCACAAGTCTCTCTCTCTCTTTTTTTTTTTGATGCGTTTATATTAATAAGTTCAAGTTGAACTCGTTTATGGAAGCTTGAATTTTTAATTGTACATGCCTTTTTTTTTACAATAGTTATGTTTGTGTTTTATCATTCATAACTGTAGCTTATGAGCGCCATATGTATATATATATATATAGTGTAGGATCTACAATCAAAGTTGTACTAGTTTTCACATTATTAATTAT